GAACGTTGTAATAAGTCCATTTGTTCGGACATCTTCTCCGGAGATACTGTAAGAACGTTTTAATAAGTCCATTTGTTCGGACATCTTCTCCGGAGATACTGCATTAACATGCATTAACGTTTTAATGATTCCAGACATCTTATGTACGTTTTAATCCTATGTAGTATATGTCATGTGTTGGATTCCCATACCGAGGGGATACACGCCCTAAAATCATGGAAGTGGAGTTCACCACCTGTTTGGGTGTTCGCAACATGGTTATCCAAGGGACCACTCCATGACATCTTCCATGAGGATTTCAGGGAGTGTACCCACCAAGCCAAGCACCAATAGGATTATTACTATTATTTATAGTACCTATAGCCTCGAACCCTCTAGATTCTCAAGAGGACATGATTGCTCAGGAACCAGGAACCGATTCCATGACATCTTCCATGACATCTTCCATATAACTCTTCCAGTCGACTCCAGTCCCATCGCCCGTGTTTGCGGGAAAATGATGCTCGTTGCTTCCCATCGGCAGGCTTCAAGAGCGCTTCCCGCAGAGCCGCATCCGCTGCAGCGATAGACCCTCGTCAGCAATGGGTGTTGTGGGTCAAAATTGGGAGTGCCAAAAACTGGTGGGTTGACCTCCCAAACGTAGTCTATTCATCCATGTCCGTACATTCAGGGCGGATGATTGAATTTGATTGCACCAAATACAAACATCTACGGGGTATCCCAACTAGAGTGCAGAGAGTTATGCAGAGTTTCTCCATCAACCGTATTTTTCACAGTAGATTCCTGGATCGGTAGATTTGGCATGATGGGACCCCTCCAAAACGGTGGCTCACGCTCCTTTCGTAGGTGACCTGGAACCCGTGTCCAGTCGGAGTTCTCAACCTAGAAAGGGCCAGATGGTGGTGATGTTGACCATCCCCGTCGAAGTGGAGCATTGACTTGTCCCACCTGGCCATGGCCACTTGGCCAGACTCCAGGTGTTTTTTTTTTGAAGGAGGATGATTCCGATACTATATAGACTGTGTCCGTTCCGCCTTCGTCAAGTGGCGCTCCAAAGCTTCCAAAGCTTCCGCTCCTGAGCTTCCGAGCGTTTTGCTGTTGAACGACGTGGCGCTTCACTTACCGGTCCCAGGGGACGTTGGGACGTGCGCATCCCAACGTCACCACGGTTGGAACGCCGTGGTCGGTTGGAACGTCGACACTTCGGGATGAAGAGATCGACTAAGGGGTTGAGAGGCCTCTAGGAACGTAGTCAGTGGATGTCAGTGGTACAGTGGTACATATCAGGAAGCACGATTAGCAGGGAAGAGGTAGGATCAGGGAAGGGGTAGGATTTTCATCAAGAAGTATGCATAGTCAAGAGGGCTAATTAGAGGGCTGTTCAACCTCTCCAGGTATGTCCGCGTGGCATCAGAACGAGAATCTGGCGCAGACATGTTGCTTGAAATGAACCATTTGGACCGGTTCCGACATGAACACCAAGTGCAACTTTTGGCTTGCTTGCGCCGAGAGACGCTGTTGCAACGCAGAAAATTTTGGCTTAAGCTGAGTAGACACCTCAGTGACACTAGCTGTCTCAATTCAAAATGGCCAAGAAGACGGCCATTGGCATCGACTTGGGCACTCTGGCAGCTACAAACTGATCTGAGATCGAATTGTTCAACGGAACACGTAATTTTAGTATATTGTAATTACGTAGAGGATGGATGAGCATGGTAGGGAAAAGCGAATTGGTTCCTTTGGAACGTGCTTTAAGATGCTGCTCAACGAAGTGTCAAACATTCCAAACCAAGGTGGGTACATGTTTTGAGGTGTGGAGACTTGCTATGATAAGAAGCCTCTTGCATATTGCACGGATGTTTATGACATAACATGACATAGACGCACATAGAATCTCAAGATCTTTCCAAAGAGGGAAAGCAGCTTGGCTTGGGGTGCCCTAGTTGCATTCACTGAGTTTAATCTCCGACCATTCCCTGCGGGTTGTCTGACAGCTTAGCGTCATCCATTCATCCAGTTGCTGCGTGTCTTGCTTCAGCCAGGTAGGTTGAACCAATCGGATTGGTCATCCGGAGTCACTGTCCGGTTGAGCGGACATGTTTTGAAAGCTCACCAACATGGCGGGTGGTCATGCTTTCATTATATCCCATGCCCATTCCATTACCTATAACAGTGGATAATGATGCTTCAGTTCCAGGCCTTTCTCTCTCTAAAATACCCTTCCCCGTGATCATTGTTTACCGTTCGAAACAGGTAAGTTCGGACACCCCCAAGTCATACACCCTGGAAGACTAAGATGGACCCTGAAAACCACAGGTTGGTAGAGGAAAGCACTCTTCCAGGGCGCCATTGTCAGGGTCTATGTTAGTTTTCGGGAGTGTATGCAGTAGCTGGACATGTTTGTTTCTCGGGGCTTCGGCAACACCTATCGAGCCACTGTGCTTTGAGGCACGACCTACTCCTGCGTCGGTGTGTGGCCGCTGTGCTGCATCTTGAGATGTGGGTATCATAGAGGTCATAGAACCCGCAAAGCAAGCATGGTGGGGCGTTCATCTACTGAGGGGGGTTGGGGAGTTGCCTATCATTTATCATTCTTAGATACGTGCTTTCATATGTGGGCTCTCACTTGTGTGATCTCACATGTGTGCCCATATGTGCGCTCTCATATGTGCTCTCATTGTGTGCTCTCATGTGTTTGCTCTCATCAAGGTGTGTGTGTGTGTCTACTCTGATACCTGTGCTCTCATCAATGTGTGTGTGTGCGTGTGCGCATGCGTTCCCATGCGCGTGTTCTCACAGGTATATTCCCATATGTTTTTTCTTTTGTGTGTGCTCACTCATCCCTGTGCTATCAATATTTGTGATCTCTCATGTGTGTGTGTGTGTCACACTCTGTTTCCAAGAGTTTTTACACGCAGGGGGGCGGAGCCAGGTGGGGGGTCTCCGGCCAACGAAGACACCCCCCACCTGGGTGCAAACGTACCTGCGATCAACTGTTGTCCAAGCTGTTCTACTCCCTCGTTTTTGCTTTCATGGTGGTTTTCATGATACGTCCCCAAAACCAGGTTTCCATGCACGGGATTAATTCGGTCTGCTAAGTAATCAGTAACTAATTTTCTGCGGTCATGCATCACGAGAAACACTTATTTTCAAACACCTTCAAGTGATGAAACGCTTCACCTGGCCGTTGAGCCATTCCTTTTCTCGGGGAATTGAGTTAACTGAAAGCCCAATGTCAAAGTGTGTGCCGCTCTGCCGTTTTCATGCCGGAGTATCACTAACAGATTTTGCTGCTTTCTGCACACGTTGGGACTTCGTTTCACCACTGTATTCCCAAAATCCAAGCCGCCGGGCACCACGGTTTTTACGACCGCCGGGTATACGGAAAGTCAAAGCCGCCGGGCATACGGAGAATGACCCCACACAACCCCCCGCCCCCGCCGAGTTCTCTACTCCCCACATAATTAGGGTAACAGAGGGAAATGGTACTCGACACACTTGTGTGTCGGTGCCTTTCCCTCTGTTGTCCCTGTTCTAGTCTACTCTACCCGGGCGGTTTAAGACTAAAGTCCCGCTCCCTAACTATTGCACCTAATTAGTTTCTGCTTAAGTAATCGTTAACTCTAGAGTGCCAAGTATTCAGACACACACATGTACACACACATGGACATACACCCCCTCCCTGCCCCCCGCTTTCTTTCTTGCGTTTTTCGTCGTTTCTTGGGCTTTCTTTCAGGCTTTTTAGGTGGTTCTTGAGGCCCGTTTCCCTGCCCCAGTCAAGGGCTAAGTATTCACCTTTTGCTACACCTATCTTTCTCTCCTGCCCTTTTAGCGCTGCTCTTTCTGTTTTTCTTTCTTTCTTGTCTAAGGCTTTTTAGGTGCCTATTTAGGTGTTTGCGCCGGAGCGCCGCAAAGCGGCTGAGTGTGTGTGTCACACTCTGTTTCCAAGAGTTTTTACACGCAGGGGGCCGGAGCCAGGTGGGGGGTCTCCGGCGAAGACACCCCCCACCTGGGTGCAAACGTACCTGCGATCAACTGTTGTCCAAGCTGTTCTACTCTCTTTTTTGCTTTCATGGTGGTTTTCATGATACGTCCCCAAAACCAGGTTTCCATGCACGGTGTTAATTCGGTCTGCTAAGTAATCAGTAACTAATTTTCTGCGGTCATGCATCACGAGAAACACTTATTTTCAAACACCTTCAAGTGATCGGACGCTTCACCTTGCCGTTGAGCCATTCCTTTTCTCGGGGAATTGAGTTAACTGAAAACCCAATGTCAAAGTGTTGTCTCATGTTTTGTCATTTTTGTGTGCTCGCATTTGTGTGCTCGCATGTGCACTCACATGTTTTTTGACTCTTGTGTGTGTTCTCCTACGTGTGTTCTCACATGCGTTTGTGTGTGCTGTCATGTATGTGCTCTAAAGCGCGCAAGCTCTTTATTCACCCTTGTTTTGTTTTGGTTGACACTGTTTGGGGTATCTTGCCGGTTATTTTCCTCAGTAACGGTTATCCTGGAGTAGATAAAGTATCGAACCATCCAAGAAGCAATCCGATTTGGAAGTTGCTGACAGAACAGTGGAAGACATTGGCCGCCATAGGATGACACTCAGATAGGTCATGTCTGGGTGCGTGTTCTTGGGTCGTTCAAGGAAGAATGATGGAGTGGAGATCATCGCCAACGACCAGGGAAATCGCACCACACCATCTTATGTGGCCTTTACAGATACTGAGCGACTGATTGGTGACGCGGCCAAGAATCAAGTGGCCCGGAATCCGGAGAACACGGTGCCTGGGCGGATGAGGGAGGTGGATTGGGAAAACCATACTCAATACTCATTGCTCAGAGCATCATCACGGTGAAAACAACAACTTGGGCCAGTGTCTTAAGTTCAATATTTATCTTGAGTAATGATCCATTGAGTCTCAAGATACCTTGGAATATGGCTAGAAATGTATCTGTATGTGTTTTATAGGGTCATGTCCCATTTTCTGGGGTACATTGGAGGTAGCATCGAATGTTTCGGCAAGGTAAGGAACTGCTGATCCACACCTCTTGGAGGGACCAGATACCGTGCAGGCAGGTTAGTTGAGGATGTCCAACATCTACTCTAGTTTTTAGCGGCCAGTGGTGTACCGTCGATTATCCAATTGGAAACTTCAGCCACCCAGAAGAATGCTAGTGTTCGGCAGTGCGAATGCGCTGCTTTCACTCTATATATAACGTATATTGGGTCCGTATATCCATATATAGTTAATGCCAATAGACGTTCCATGTGTCCATGTCCTTTGTACCTACCGCCGACTCATCCACCGAAACAAAGCCACACCAACCCCTGTGCCAAGCATCCCAAGCAAGTACCCGTTTCATCCCGTTTCTCTATTTTAACATATAATCAACCTCTGAACCAAATCCCCGCCCCAAGCATCCCAGCACCGCCCGCAGCAAGCGCCGAGGTCTTCGACGCCAAGCGTTTGATCGGCCGGAAGTTCACGGAGCATCATGTCCAGGCGGATATGAAGCTTTGGCCCTTCAAGGCGCTATGGACCAGGGAGACCGGAATTGGGTTC